AACCCAAGCATCACTGTCACTGCTGTCATAGCGCAGTGGGACACACTGGGCCCTATGTGGTAGCCGGGTGGTTGTAGACGGTGGGGTAGCCACTCCTAAAACCTGAGGAGAAGGCACACAGACTGACGTCTTACAGGTCAGGAATAAATCAAATGGCTGTTAGTAGGGGGAAAAAATGGAGACTGGACCCTGAAAAACAATCTCCTGTCCCCACATTCTCCTATCTTGTCTGGACAGGGAGGCGGGATGACAGTGTGTGTGCTGAGCCTCCTGGATCTGCCACAGGAGGCTGCACCTGTCATTCCTTCCCAGCCTCGTTTTCTCATCTGTGAAATGGGGATGTTGAGGAGGCGTGTAGCACTCTTCTGGGCCCCAACTCTCAGGGCTCAGGGTGGCAACAAGCAGAGCCCCACGGGGACCAGGAACCTGGATGGCTCCAACCCCCTGCTCAGTACAGTTGGAAGGTGATACTCTGATTTGGGGTTCTGGAGTGCTGGAGTGGCGTGCTTCCGCCATGCCATCTGGTGTATGTTTGACGCCTGACTGAGACCCCAGACAGCAGAGAAACCCCAGGCCAGCAGTGGGCCTGGAAGGGTGTTTCAGGCTTGAGGTCTGGACACAGGTTGTGTTCCTGCTGTGACATCGTGGTGGTTGTCTCTGTGACTTGGACCTTTTCTCCAGGGTGGAGCTGCTACGCCTGGCCCAGCCCTGCTCGTTGCTGCAGCTTGGCCAGTGGCTCTTCTCATAACAAGGGGACCCACAGCTGTCAAGTGTGCAGCCTGCTTAGGGCAATCTGCACCCAGCCTTGACTGTGACCTGCCAGGGCCCCTCCTTCTGTGGCGGAGAGACACATGCAGCCCCACAGTTCTGCCTCTCCTTGTCTGGTTCCCCTCTTCCCCTGGGCTTGGTGTATGGCTTGCCTTTGGCCACCTCCGCATCACAGCCCTTCCCACTTCTGCCCCCCGGGCACCAAGTGCTGAGAGGAGACCCCTGCCATGTAGAGGCCAGAAGTCTGTGTATTTCTCAGTGCCCCTGCCATCCCCTGCCACTACCTGACCTGTTCGTCCCATTCTACAGTTCCTTAAATCAAATTTTTAAAAGAAAGAAGATAATAAAGAAAATGAAAGAATTCTGTAGGATGTGTAACTACTACTGATCTACTTAATTTAAGCCCTGATCGAATCATTTCAGGAACAACCACAATAATTCCTCATATTTTTAACCGGGTATGTTAAGAGTTGCCATGCTCGGTCTCATCACAGGCTCACACTGTAGGAAACGCAGACCAGCAACCAGAACATCGGAACCGGGCTGCACACCCCGCTTCTCCTTTGCCCCGAGTGCCCGGTTCCGGGGTTCCGGGCTTCCTCGCTAACTGCGGGCCCTTACCCCTCCCTTACTGTCCTTTCCTACCAGCAGCCTCTCAGCCCCAAGGAAGGACTCTTTTGGGAAGCGAAGGAAACCCCCATCTTATCCCTCCCTCAGCTACATTCAGTTAGTTTTGTTTCATGTAACTATGTAAAACAAGACAAAACAAACACACACACAAACAAACACTTTCATGTAAACCAGCCAGGGTGGCACATCCATGTAATCCTGCAGTCTGGGAGGCCGAAGCAGGAGAATTGCAAGATCAAGCCCAGCCTGAGCAATTTTGGGATTTGTTGAGACACTGTCTCAAAATGAAAAAGAGCTGGGAGTGTAGCTCAGTGCAGAAGCCCACGGTTTAATCACCAGCCTTACCACAAAACAAACACCAATCACCCCTTTCATTTAAAAGGATTTGTTTTGTTTTGTTTTGTTTTAGGGTCTCGCTATGCAGTTCAGGCTGGCCTTAAACTCATTTTGTAGTGCAGGTTGGTCTCAAATTCGCAGTGATCCTCGTGCCTCAGCCTCCTGAGTGTTGGCATTTACAGGTGTGTGCCACCACGCCTGGCCTAAAAGTCATTAAAATTTTTTTCTTAGTGCATAATGTTTACATCCCTCGTGTGGAGTTGGTACATGTACATTACATGTCTTAATTCTTAAAAGGCATTCTGAAGACTTTCTAAGGTGGGCAAGGTGGCCCACCGTCCTGTTTTGTGAGTTAGTGAGCCCTTTAGTAGTTTGTCCGGAGTGAACAAAGGCAGTGAGCAGTGAAGAAATTCTGGCCATGGCTTCAGCGACTCCAGGCCTGAACACTGGTGGGCGCAGGGTGGGCCTCACCCCAGCCCTGTGCGTTCCCTTTGGGGCCCGAGGGATGGGGAGGGGAGAGCAAAGTAAGAAGAGCCATCGAGTGGCCTCCTAGAGCCCTGGGTTTGTCCCTACTCCTAGTGCCGCTTAGCCACTCGAAGACCTTGGCCAAGGCTGATCACAATCTCGTCGTCTCGTAACTTAGCACCCAGCTGCTTTTTTAAAAATAACTTTCTTGAGAAAAACCTCTGCTCCTCCCGCTGTGGGAAAGTCCACTTTGGCCTCTGTGTCCTGGATCCCCACCACTGCCTGCCAGGGACATTCTGGTCCCTCCCCACCAGTCCCAGCCTCTCCCTCCCTCCCAGGCCATCTGTCCCTATTAACTGTGCTTCGTCCCTAGGGAGGGTGGTCTCCAAGTTGGTTCTGCAGTGGGCCCAGGGAAGCCAAGACACCCCGTGCTGCCCTGGCACTGGATTGAGTTGAGCATCCAGGGAAGCTCCTGGCTAAAAAAAGTCGCTCTGGGAAGAGTGTCCCAGGGTGGGGAAGGGCCGTGCTGGGGAGGCAGGGAGGGGCTGATAAGTGCCCACACATCAGAAAGGAAGCAAGAAAAAGGGGGTGGAGAAAGGAGAGAGGATGCCTTTCTAAAAATACAGCCCATCTGCACTGTGTGAGCTAGTTTCCTGGGAAACCACTGGGAACAGATCTGGGGCTTGGGTGGTGATGCAGGGCGCTAGGACGGGCTCCCCAGAGCTTTGCAGCTCTCCTGGGGGCCTCCAGGCTTGGGAGGGCGGTGCTCCCAGCCAGCCAGGATACCCAAACCCCAACCAGGATGCAGTGAGCACTCCTCAGGGCTGTGTTTCTTGCTCCTCATGACACCAGCCTGGGGAAAGATCACAGCTGCTGCCTGGTCTCATGCCACAGCACGGGTTTCATCCAAGGCCCTGTGCCCTGGGCTGTCTTTAGTTTGGGCTCTGTGTAGGGAGAAACCAGCAGGGCAGGGTCGTGGGGGCATCTCCCAACCAAGCCGCTGATTGACTGCGAGTGTTTTAGGCAGCACTAAAAGTCTGAGGCTTCGCCCTTGAGAAAATCTAGAAATAAGTTGGAAAAGAAGAGAAGGAAAGTGGAATGCATGGAAGAACTGAAGGATTCATTCACCTTCTTCTGTCCTCCTGGTGTGATGGCTGTGGTGGTATGGGCATCAGGAGCAGTGAGCCTCAGGCCAGGAGTCCAGTCCTAGCTCTGTGGGACTTGGACTGCTTTTAGCTCTGGTTTTGTCATCTTACCAGGGCAAAATAAAATAGCACAAGCAAGCACTTCTGAGTTATGAGGTGCTTTTCAAGAATAAGGATTTGTTCTTCACCAATCTTGGTTTTGGTGATACTGAGGATTGAACTCAGGGCCTTTGCACTGGACTACATCCCCAACCTTTCACTACTTTTTATTTTGAGACGGGTTCTTGTTAAATTGTTGTTTTCCACTCTGGGTTCAAACTTGCAATCCTCTTGCCTCTGCCTCCCAGAGTGCTGGGTTTACAGGCATTTGCCACCATGCCCTGCTCCCATCTGTTTTCCCCTGATTTCAGACTATATACTGTGGTTTTCAGCCTTTGCCCAGCAATTTATACCTGTGAACTTTTTGATACACAGGCTACCAGATTTTTTCTGTGAGACAATTCCTATTTCTTTTTCCACCTATTATGACACAAGCATTTTCTCATGTTACTAAGTAACCTTTTGTCAGTTATTGCAATGATATGTGTATCTGGTGACCTGTTGACAGACATTCAGCTGTGTGTAGTTTGTCTATTATAAATGGCATGGTAGTCGGCATTCCTGAGCTGTACCATTTTCTGTCCTCTCCAGTTTGCTCAAGAAATTTCTCCCAGGCAAAGGATTGCTGAGTCTGAGAGTAAGAACATTTTAAATAATTTTAATTGATTTTGCAAAACTGCCATCCAGAAAGATTAACCAGTGTTTCACCCACAAGCACTGTAAGCCAGCCCCGTTTCTATGCACCTTGGTTGGCGCTGCAGGCTTTTCCAGTCCCACCTGCCAAAAAGAAAGAGGAGCTTATTGGAATTTCCATTTCCTTGACTTCTAGGCAGTGTGGATATTTTTCCATGCATTTCCTCAGTTTTAATTCTCTCATGAATTTCCAGATCTCACCCTTGGCTAGTTTTCCTCTTGGTGCATTCTGATTGCTGCCACCGGGGGAAATCCATCCGAGTGAGTGCTGGTGCTGGAAGAGCCGTGGGTCTTGGGCTCTGTTTGTGCCCTGTCTTCCCCCACTGCTGCTCCTCTCGTGACCCAGTCTTCCCAAGGGTCAGGAACCTGGTGGTCTCCTAGGACCGCCAGCCCCTGGGCCTGGAACCCACCTTGTGGCAGCTGTGGGCTGAGAGGTGGCCTGCACCTCTCCTCCCTGCAGGACCCTCTCCTTATAACTCCGCCTGCCACCCTGACACCCCCACCCTCTCCCAGGGCCCATGTCTGCAGGAGAGCCCTCAGGTCTCCTCCACCAGGCTCTCTGTCCTGCAGAATGTCACTGTCAACTCTACACCGGGTGGGGCAGGGCCTTCTGCCTATGTCAGACCCTACCTATTTACCCCTCTGCTTCTCAGTAAATGCAGGCTTTTGCTTGAGACTTTTTAGGGTGTTACTTTTCTCTTTGTTTTCAAAACATGTTTGAACTTTTAAGAGTGAATACAATGACATCCCCAAAGCCAGACACTGACACTTTCTAACAGATCTCTGGAGTTCCCTGGGACAGCTAACCTTCTTCCACCCGGGAGATTCAGAGCAAGGCCCAACCTCTCTCTCCCCCCTTCCCAGGGCTCCTGCTGCACGACGTGACCATGGCCGGGCTTCAGGAGCTGCGATTCCCGGAAGAGAAGCCACTGCTCCGGGGTCAGGACGTCGCAGAGCTGGTGAGCAGTCCCATCACGGTCCTGGGGACCAGCGCGCCACCTCGTGGCAAAGAAGGAAACCGCGGCCTTGATGGTCAGGCGGGAACCCTCCATGGGGACAAGGCGCCCTAAGCAGCCTTGTCCTTGCCTTGAGAGAGTTCCAGGGCCAGCCTGGATGCCCAGACGACCGACGCCCAGCTACCACGTCTACTTCCTTTCACTGTGGTTCCAGCTGTCTTTGAAGCTAGAGCTCAGCAAGAGAGGGCCACATTTGATGATGAGGAAATAAGAGTGGAATCATTTGGCCAAGGTCACATAGCCAGAGTAGACTGAGGTCCCATGCAGTCCCTCGCTCTAGACAGCCCTCACACCCTGAAGAACTGCCTCCAGCAGGATCAGGAGTTGCCCCATCCGTGCTGCAAGCTCCTTGTCTTCCTCCCAAACCTCTGAGGTTCAAAGGCAGGGTTTACTGACAGCACCATCAGGGGCTGTGGGACTGAGGCAGTCAGGTTGATTTTGTCCATGTTGCTCAGGAACCCAGTGCTAGGTTCCAGCGTCTCTTCCACCCCGAGCCTCGTTGTGACCCCACGTCCTCTTTTCACATCCTTCCTGCACCATCCTACTGTGCAAAAAGCCAGGGGTCACAACTGGGATTCCCACTGGTGATGCCTCCCAGCCCCCCTTTTGTTGCAGATGGGAAGGCCAGAGCCTGCCCAGTCCCTCAAATCTGTTTTCTGCCTTGCCCTTCCTCCCCCGGCCTCCTGCCACAGGAGGTGACCTAGAGCACCTGAGAGCAAGCTAGGGGACCAGGCGGCAACCAGCGCTCCAGTGGTCCAACCACATGGAGGGGCCCCAAGAGGGGTACAGCCCTATGTTAGATCTTTGCATTGCCTTTCGAGGCCCAGGTGACTTGAGGGCAGCCCTAGGGGCAGCGGGTGAGCTGCACACTGAGAGGCCGTTTGTTCCGAGCTGACCTGACTTACTCCTAGTTCAGACCCCAGGCCCCATCAGTGCTTGCTGGGAAGCTCGCAGGAGCCTCCTCGTTGATCCCACTGCTTCTGCCCTGGCTCTGCGCGCCCCTTTAAAATGCGTCATGTCACTTCTCTGCCTCAAGCTCACCAGTGGCCCCAGTCACGCTCAGTCCAGCCTCAGTCTTCCCTTGGGACCAGGATTGTTGTTCTGCGCCTGCCCTCTCCCCCAGCCCTCCTTTCCAGCCTTCTTGAACTTGCCCATCACCTTCCCTGTGGGTCTTTCTGCCCCAGAGCCTGCAGAGCTCCCTGCTGGAGATTCTCAGCCACTGCTTGGCTGTCCCTCCTCGGAGAGGCCTCTGTGGTCTTGGGTGTTTGATGCTGACCCCCCCACCACCACGCTCTGTGTCACTCGCTCTTAGACCCTGTGGCACTCTGCTGTTTGGCGCCCTCATCTCCATGGTGCCGAGCACAGCTTCTTGTACATAGTTGGTGCTCAGCAAAGACACAGGCTGGGAGGAGCCACAGCTTGTGGTGCAGCTCAGAGGGAAGAAGTCTCTCACAGCTTTCTAAAAAGCCCCGCTTGCCCACACCAGCCTGTCTTCCAAAGCCCATCAACAGAGACCTCTCTGAGGTTTTGGCAAGGGACAGGGTGACCCCTGGGGGCCTCTGTATCCCATTACCAGTGCTGAAGTGGGCAGGGTAGAGAGCAGCTGTCACCAAGGCTCAGCGTCTGTGACCCTGACCAGTGCCCGAGGGCGTCTTGGCCCCACACACAGGCCGGAGAGGTGACCGAACCCTTCTCTGCCCACCCGGCCAAGCCCCTTGTGCCTCCCCCACCCAGTGAGTCCAGTCCTCCCCCCCGCAGCTTGCCGCTGCGTCCCTTCTGCTGTCCCCTCTCCTTCCTCCTCTCGGCCTGGCCACCAGAACACAGCTTGCTGCCGTGACGTCTACTTTTGCATGAGCACCTGGTTTCTGTCTCCTTTCTTGAGGCAGCACGAGCCCTAGGCCAGGGACCTGGCCACACCTGCTGTTTCCTAAGGCACAGTGAAGCCCTGTCCCCAAGCTCATGGCGTCCTCCCTGGGCCCAGCAAGGGCTCACACACTCCCCCTTCATTTGCTTGCATGCGCTTCTCTGGGGCACTGTGGGAAAGTCCCCGTTCTTTTCACTTTCTCAGTCCCCTGCAGAGGCTCAGAGACCAGTGAAGGCTGAGCAGTTGTCCCTCTGTATCACTGAAATCCACACCTGTGGTTTCAACCAATCACAGATTGAAAGTATTAGAGAGGAGAATTGCACCTGTACTATATGCACAGACTTTTCCCTGCTGTTAATCCCTAAATAACATAACAGTCATTCACACAGCACCTCTGTATATTAGGTATTATAAGCAATCTAGGACTAATTTAAGGTGTACAGGTGGCTATGCACAGGTTCTATGCAAACATGACAACCTTTTATAGAAAAAACTTGAGCATCTGTGGAATTTGGTACCTGCGGGGGCCCCGGGACAGCAGCGCTTGCACGGGTCCCATCACCCTCCACCTCTTCCCACTGGCTTGCTCTGGAGGCTGCAGTGCCTGCTGGCTATGTGGCAGACTGGCCACCCCTTCTTCTGTGCCTAGGTGCCCCACCTCAGTCTCCCACGTACCACCCCGAGCCTCCCCGCCTCGGTGTCCTGTGCGCTTGCTCTCACCGCCCAGTTGGGGGCTCCAGATCAGTTCATGTTATTCTCGTGTTTCTGGGCTTTTAGGTCCTATCCCTCCCACGCTCCCCATCTCTTAGGGCCCACACCACCCTGAGAGCGCATCACAAACCCTGTTATTATCTGCCTCATCCTTTTTTGTCAGATTTTTGTTTTTAACCAAACTGCCTCCTCCTTCCTTCTCAGAGATAATTGCCTGGGCGAGGTCTTGAGGATAAAAACCTCCTACATCCACTTCCCAGCCTCCGCGCACAGGGTGAAGGTGGAAGAGTTACCTATACCAGCCCCCTCTTCTTCCCCCAGCTCTGTCTTCTTTTCTTGGGGGCTCCGAGAGTAGCTGGCCTCCCTCTCCCAGGAAGGGTCCCCTACTTGGTTGAGCCAACAGGGGATGCTGGCTTCTACCATTCTTCATGACAGTCCCAGCCTGCTGATACCTGGCTGTCCTCTTCGGGTGTGTCAGCCCCTGGTGCCCTCTGACCTCCATTCCCCACCTGCTGGAATGTAGGGAGCTTCACGTTAACTTATTTTGAGAAGCAACATCAGAATCACCGATGGCATTCTTCTCTTCCTCACCCTGGACCCAGGGGCTGTTTTTTGTCCTGTTGCACAGTGACATAAACCCTTGCTCTGCTCCAGCTGCAGCGTGCTCCTGAGGTGATGGGTGTTTACTTGGTAGGAGAGACTGCAGCTTACGAAGTCCAGGGTAGGAACACAAAGGACAGAATCATAGCCCATGCTGCCCGGCAGAGGCTGTATGACCTGCCCCGCTGGAGCAGAAAGGCTTCTAGACAGGCACAGTAGACCAAAAGGTGGGCCCAGCCCAAGCTCTGCTTTACTTGAGTGGCTCTGGCCTCCTCGTAGCTTTCCTTACCCTGACCCCAAGGCAGCGTGAGTCTGACCTGGACAGGGTGCCTGGTCATCCAGATGGGGAGAAGCTGAGTCACACGCCAGGCCAGGCGCAGCTTCAGGACACCCCAGGGCTCCTTGGCTCCATCTGAGCATCTTCATACACCAGGTACATCCTGGATCAAACCCCCCACCCCCACCCGCATGGTGCAGTGAAGTTGTTCATCTGGATTCAAGAATGTTACAGCCCGATGTGGTCCCTCCCTTGTGGCCCTTGGAATCCAATGACAAGACAGCCACTGATCAAAGGTGCACACTGCTCAGTGTAGCACATGCCCTAGTGACTCAGAGTGGGCAGCCCTTGTGGCTCCATGCCAAGCACGCCTCAGCTTACCTATCCTTTGGGGGCATGACAGCCGTGTCTTCCTCTTTCCTCCTTTCTCCACCACTACCCTTATGTCCAGATGGTCAGACCTCCAGAAACACCTATGAGGACAGGAGAACAAAGTGACCAAGGATCCAGACTTGTAGTCCGAGATTCCTCCACTTTATGGTCCAGGGACAGCCTCAGCCTCACCATTTCCACCTATAAAATGGAAATCTTTGTTCTGCCAAGCATTTGCTAGCCTGATACATTGCACTTGGTAAACCCTCAGCTTAACATTAATGCAGTCTGGGGGTTAGAAAGCCATCTGCTCTGGGTCACCTCCACAGGATGCCCAGGACACTGGGAGTCTAACTTGCTCCTCTGTTTGCCTTCTCTTAGGAGAACCCTGACACCTTCCTGTCAGCCGTGGACACAGATTGGAAGGTAAGTCCAGGCTCAGCCTGCTGGGATGTGGGGCCCACCATTATCCAGCCCCTGAACAGGGCAATCAGGAAGGGACAGGGGGCCTAGGGGAGGAGACCAGGGGGATGGAGAAGGGAATGAGGGATGCTGTCATCTGAATCAGCATTTTCCTCCAATGAAAGCCAAGTTGGCTCCAAAATAGCTCCTGTTTCCATGGCAGCAGTTTCCAGGACAACCATGTCCTCTTTACTTTGATGCCAGATTCTCCATGAAACTGAACTTGCACTTTGTATTTATTCTTCCACTGGCTCACTCATCCAGCTATTTCTCCTTCCTGAGTCCCCCAGTGACTGTTTATTTCCAGGTGCTAGAAAACTCCTAACAGCAGGCACCAGGGGAGTCTTGTGGGGTTCCCCAATCTCTACCAGCCATCCAAACATACTGAACAGCACAGATCCTTTCATACTGAAAGATGAAGTAGTCCCCAAGCTGCTGCCCCTGTCATTGGCGACCTTGACTGGGGTCATTCTCCAAGCCCCATGACAACCCCGGCCTTATGGTCTGGGAACGTGGGGCTTCCTGCTGGCTCTCTGGGTGAGCAACTCTCCAGTAAGGATGGGGACAGGGCACGTGTGTTGATCCTTCAGTCACATGCTTGAGATCAGGGTTATGCATTAGTCTCTGGTCGTGTGCTCTTCAAGGACACAAAGGGAGGATTCAAGGCAGATGATACTCAGGTGCTCAGATCCCACAGGAATGCCCTGTCCAAATACAGGGGCTCTGGGCTGGAAGGACAGGATGGGACTTGGTGGTGGGACCAAGAGAAAAATGGGAGGGATATGGCTGGGTGAGGAGCCAGCCTGGTAGGAAGGACCGGTTGGAAATCAGAGCAGGGATCCAGGCCATTCTCTTGTCCTCCAGGCACCAAATGAGGCTGGGAACACATAAGCAAATGGGCTCTAAAGAGGAGACTGAGGACACCAAATCCTGGAGCAGCCAGCCCTGCCTGCCATTCTGGCCCCACAGTGTGGAAGGCCCAGGCCTAGGATGCTGAGCTGCTGTGGGCAGAGATGAAGGGGAGCCTGGGGGGCCGCAGGGGAGGCTCACTGCCTGGGTGTTGACTGCTTCTGCACAGCCTCTCTCCGCTGTGCCCCAGGCAGCTGCAGTGGCAGGTGGGACCCTCATTTTCCAGGCCCTTTGCATGTTGTGGGGAATTGTGTGCTAAAAGGCATCCTCCTGGGGCCAGGGATTTAGCTCAGCACATAAGCACGAGTTCATGAGTTCAATCCCTGGTACCTAAAAAAAAAAGGAAAAAAAGGCACTGTCCTGGCCATGTGAGGTGGCCGTGACTATTCCCAGCCACTAGGGTGTCTAAGTCAGGAGACTCACAAATTTAAGCTCACCTGGAGTAATGCAGCAATCCCTGTCTCAGATAAAGAGCTGGAGGTAGCTCAGTGGTGGAGCCCTTGTCAGTCGTGCGAGTGGCCCTGAGTGACATCCCTAGGCTGCCACAAAGACTCAGTCCACTGTTTCACTCCAGGAACTGGGTGTGGGCTGTTGGTTTATATCTTTGTTTTTATTTAAGAGAAACAGTACCAAAGATGGCTATCATCTGGACCGTAGCCTGGCAGGGACTCTATCCCTTTCACAGTGACAGGTGGTGTCACTGTCTCCAGTCTCAGTGAGCTCCATCAGAAGGACAGGTAACAAGGCTGAGACACCGAGGAGCACCAGACCGACCCAAGTCTCGGCCTTGGCCCTGCCGCTTCCTGGCCGTGTGACTCCAGCACAAGCCAGGCTACTCAGCCACTTCGTTTTTACCGTGAGATGGGCAGCTTAGATATTTGTGGGTATTTGTGGGGCCCAGTACCAGGATATGGAGTCAGAGTCAGGCTGCGTGGACATGGCTTCTTGTTCTGGGTTTCTTAGCTGGGTAACAGTGAGCAGGTCACCAAACCTCTCTGTGCTGCATCTGCTTTCTCTGAAAAGTGAGTGTCAGAAGGGTAAAGTGAACTGAGTGCAGTGGCCCACGCCCACGATCCCTGCACTGGAGGGCTCAGGCAGGAGGTGTGTGAATTCAAGGCCAGCCTGAAATGCATGGGAAGGCCCCGTCTCAAAAAATCACACTCAACATGGGAGCAGGGTAATCACTGAGGGAGGCTGAGGCAAACAACTGAGAATCCATGCCCTGCCGGGGCAGTTTAATGAGACATTGTCTAAAATCAAAAAATAAAAGTATCTGGGCACGAGTGCAGTGTGAAGGCCCCAGTTTCAAGTCCCATTACTGCAAAAGCAAACAGACACTGAACCCAGACAAAATAAAACGAGGGGATATAAAATGTTTGAGTAGAGGCTGGCAGGGGGGAGGCTGCTCCCAGGGATGTGACCTCAGCCTGGGGTGCTGGGAGCTGGGAAGCTCCAGTGTTACTCGCTGGGTGGGGGAGTTACAGTAACAGCTCTGTGCCTCGGTTTTCTCATCCGTTCTCATGGGCTTAGTAGGATTGACAGCCGCCCAGTAAGCATTGCTGTTTCTCCCGTGCACAGACGTGGAGGCTCAGAAACGTTGGTTGTCTTGCCCAAGGTCACCCAGCAAAGAAGTGGCAGAGCTGAGAGACACCAGGAGTCATCTAGCAGACCCTCAGCTCGCTGTATTTGTCTGCAGCCCTCAGGGAAGGGGCCAGCCGTCTGGAGAGACCCCTGAGTTGTCCTCTTCTTCTGTCCTAGGGCTGGGGAGAGCTAGAGACAGGGATGAGCGATGGATGCAGTTTTTTCTCATATGCCTAGCAACTCGGTGAAGAAGGCACAATTCTTGTTTTATAGCGTGGGGAGCTGGAGGCACAGAGGTTACAGATGTTGCCCAGGGATCCAGCTGGGGGCCAGGAGGAGGCTGAAGCTAGGGCTGTGGATTTGCAGCCAGTGAGCTGAACAGAAATGACAGAGGGCAGCAGTTTGGGGTAGCCAGAGGCAGGTCAGCACCTCGCCCAGGTCCAAGAATGAGGACAGGCCATGCAGAGGCAGAGGGGGTGAGGACTGGGCTGGGACCCATGTGGAGAAGCACATGGGGAATCTGAGGGCAGAGTAGAGCCCATGCAGGGAAGCATGGCCATCGTGGAAAGATCTGGGGACACCCGTTGGACACTCCTGCCGCCCTCAGGAGAACAGGGCCCAGCAGACTGCTCAGGGACCTGGGGTGGGGGTCAGAGATGGAGCAAGGAAGGTGGTAGATGCCTCAGGTAAAGGACATGGCCAGAGACAGTGCGTATGGCAGGTGCTTGCTAGGTCACCAGCACCTAGGCTTGCCCTTGCCGAGGGCAACCAGCCACTGTGCAGCGTTGTCAGCTCAGGCTGGGACAAGCGGAGTGTCCTTCACTGAGAAGACAGAATCGGGGCACAAGCGCCTTGCATCCGCCCTGCTACCCTGTGCTCCTATTCCCTCAGCCTGGGGCTCCCTCTGCTCACCTCCCTGACCTGTTTCATCTCCTCCTTCGCTCTCCGTGACTCCAGTCTCCTTGTCCTGCCTGCAGAGCTTGGCCTAGCTCGTCACCCAGACCCTTGATTCCCTAGAGGGACAGGACATGGAGCCTGAGGTGGCTCTGACATCAAGCTCCACAGAGCCCTGGGAGTCAGGCCCCCCACTGGAGGGTAGTGTGCTGGAGGCAGGCATGAAAACTTGTCAGAGGCTGCCCCCTGCTTTTTCTGGGGGCTGCCAGTCCCCTGCAGCACAGTGGGGTGGGGAGGACAGAACTGATGTTTGCTACCACACCCCTGCTCCTGCAACCTCCCTGGGTCTTTGGCCATTGCTTTTGGTGGCTCAGAAAGCCCTAGGTGGGGGCTGGGGATTTAGCTCAGCGGCATAAGCGCCTGCTTTGCAGGTGCAGTTGTGAGTTCGATCCCTGGTACCAAAAAAAAAAAAAAAAAAAAAAAAAGCCCTGGGTGGCATGTGGGCAGAATGGGAGAGCAGCAGGCCCCCAAAGTAGAGGTGCTCTGAGAAGCGGGGACCGCCCAGCTTTCCTCAAGAAGTGACTCGGATCTTTCTGTTGGGGAGTTGGGCTTTGGGGTCTGGTCCTCAGCATGCTGGGCTTGGACCCCTCAGGCCCTTCGTGTAGGAGATGAATCCAGGGCTCTGCCTGCGTGTCCCACCCTGTCCTGATTGGGTGTGCACATCTGTGAGAGGTTCCTGTGTGTGTGGTCATAGCTCCCATATGCTCAGGATGTTCCTGTGCAGCTATGGTTGTCAGTGGTGCCTGGGTGCTGGGAATGACAGAGCTGCAGGGGACGGGACCTTCAGGATGATGTGTTGCTGGGGTGGGAGGTGTAGGCTGGGTGATGAGGAGCTCAGAGCCAATCAGAGCCAAGCTTGTCTCCCAGCAGCCAATCTGGGAGCGGGGGCTCTGGGTGAGCAAGTGACTGTTAAGAAATGCCGCGGGGAGGGGGAGCCGCCTGGCTACCAGCATCTGTGTATAAAAGGCTCAGGAGCTGAGCTCGTCCCAGAGCTGACGGTCTCCCACTCAAGCTGCCCCCGCCCTCTGGACCGGAGTGACTCAGGCCTTTGTTTGCCCTTCCCGGTCCAGGCCCAGGCGAGTCCCCTCCTTCGGCAGGATGCCGGAGTGCTGGGATGGGGTGAGTGAGGGCCCTGGGGGCAGCCAGGTGGGCTGGGAGGATGGGACATCTTTGTGACCCGCGGGAAGGACAGGGCGTCCCTCTGCCCATGGCACCTCACTTGGAGTCACTGAGGCAAGGCCACCAGTCTCCTGGTAACCTGGTCCACCTGTGTAGCTGAGGGCAGCTGCTAGTCCGGCGCTGGGGGAGGGGTGCGGTCTGTGAAGTGCAGGGGAAGCACGGACTCCTCTCTGCTTACGTGGCCCTGCATACCCTGTGTGCATGCCCTGCTGACAGCAAGCAAGTCCTTTGCCTGCCATGTGCCCCTGGCATCTGCCTGGGCACTGGGACCAGCTCAGCCCTTTGGGCTGGTCCTCCGTGAACCCCGGGCAGTGTTGGCAGAGTGTCCTGGGGGTCTGTGGTCCTGTCACCGTGGGGGTGGCCTTGGTGTTGGGATGGCAGTTCCAGCTGGCTGTTGGCAGCCTCCTGTGAATGGGGACTGGGGCAACCAGATTCATGTCCCCAGCCTCTTCTTTCTTTTGGAATTGATTGCATGTCCCCTGGGCATTTGGAATGCCAGCTCAGCAAAGGAGTGGAGGTCAGGATCTTCAGGCAGGGCTCCCAGCAGGGAAGGGGACCAGAAGGGGTCACCTTCCTTCTGTATCCCTAGGGACAGCAGATACCCAACCCCTAAGCAGTTCTTCCTAAGGGAAGGAGAGGCAAGGACAAGCCCTTGCCCTCACACACCTCTTCCCTGCCCTTCCCTGCTGAGTTCTCAGGTCTTGGGGTCCCCTTGCGTGGAGCTACAACATCAACCCCTGTCCACCCATGCAGACCCAAGCCCAGCTCCCAATTGCTACCCAACCCCTACCCCAGCCCTCAAGGTCACTGGCGAAGAATAGGAGCTGCGAGGACGTCAGAGCCCCCTCCCTGGCTGCCGCACTGCATCCCTGGGCACCTACTGGGAGGCGGGCCTGGCTTTGACGTCACCAGGAGCCAATGGAAGCTCTTGGTCCTGGGAGTTGGGGGTTCACAGTGCACCAGGCTCCAGTCCCTGCGTGCCCCTCACCTTGAGCCCTACAGGACCCAAGAAAATGGGTACCCGCCGCTGTCAGGCAGAGCTGGGTCTGAAGCCCTTGCTGAGGACCAGAGGAGGGTGGAGAGCTCATTAGGAGGGTTAGGACAAGGTCACTAGGCCCCAGGGACTGACAACCTGGCTAAAGGCTCCGCCTGCCATGGCTTCTCAGACCCAGCTGTGTTGCTGATGTCAGACTCCTGCAGATGGCAGCCTGGGCCGCTGCGCCAGGGCTGGGAAGGGAGAGGGGCTCCTCATCACATCTGCTGAAGGGTGGAGGTCTGAGTTTGGAAGACGCCCTGGGTCCTGACTTCTGTTCACCAGGACCAGAGCTGACTCACTTGGGCACTTCTCTCTGGTGCAGCTCCCTGCAGCCCTGAGAGAACGGGAGGGGGCTGGCAGGCACCCAGCAGCGGTGGGCACTGTGCGCTCAGAGGTCTGTGCGGCGGAACTGGTGTCCTCAGAAAATGCAGCCTGAGGGCTGAGCCTGGCCCCGTGAAGCCCTAGCCCCCTGGGAAACCCCTCCTCCACCGCACCTCCCTTCTCTGAGCTTGGTCTTGGGCAAGTCACTTGTCCTTTCTGGGCCTTAGTTTCCTCCTGTGTGCCTTGGGTCTGTGTGAGGAGTAACTGAAAGGACACATGAAAAGAGCCCACTCAGGGGGCCCCTAGGGAGAGCAGGCCTGGAGGACCACAGGGATCAGACACCCTCTCCTCCAGCAGAGTGTGGCTCCAGGGTTGGCACCACCTTGTCACTTCCTGCTGGAGTCACCATCCTGGACAGTGGTCCTCTGAGGCCAGGCCGAAGAAAGCCAATCCCCTGTCACCCTTGTCTTCCCCCATCTGAAAGTGGGGGCTGGGGTCCTTGTCCCTGGGAGAACGTGCAGTCTCCTCTCACTGGCTCTTTCCTTCCTGTCCATGACCTAGTACCACATCCGACTCTCTGGGCCTCCCTGTGGTCCTCAGCGCTCCCCACAGTGCAGGGCAGGCCATTTACTCAACCTTCTTCAGTTTTCTGATTGAGTGTCCAGAACTGTGTGCTTGCAAAGATACCAGCCAGTGGCAAGCATCTCCCCAAGGTTCAGGGCCCTCTACTAGGGCTGGTTGGGCTGGTGTTGTAGCTGCTACCAAGCCCCCATGAGATGACTCCCACAAAGAGGCTGAGAGTCATATGGGAAGGAGTAGAGCAGAGTCTCCTAAACAACTCATGATCCTGAGAAGCAAAACCAGAGCATAAACTCAGGAAGACCCCTGCTCCGGCCCTACAGAAGGCTTGGTGGTGGTGGGGTGATCCTACCCGACCCTTCCTGAAGGGGGGCCTTGGGGTGCTTGGGTCACAGGAGAGGGCGCTGAGGTGGAAAGAAGGGTGTGAGTGAGGGCCAAGGGTGGGAACCCGGCAAGTGTGTGAGGCCGAGCCGGGCTTGGCCAGCACGGGTGCTGCTGAGGGTTCAGGCAGGGCTGGCCAGGCCGTTGCCTTCAGCCTCAGGGAGCCCGTGAGGCTCTGCATGGGAGCTACTCGAGGCCTCCCGGCACTAAGGCCTGGACAGTGGCAGCACAGCACGCCGGCTGGCTCGTAGGGCAGCCTGGAGTTTCTGTGACGTTCGTGTTGTCTCTGTGCTGGGGCCCTCTGAGAATGGGTCTGCGTCTGGCCTGTCCTCTCTGGGGCTGCCAGGAGATGAAAACAGGCCCCTTGGCTGGGGCTCATCTCTGCCCCATCGCCTGGTTTCCCCGAAGAGCCAGGAGTCCAGCACTGTCTGTGTCCTCCAGGAACACGACATTGAGACGCCTTACGGGCTTCTACACGTGGTGATCCGGGGTTCCCCCAAGGGCACCCGCCCAGCCATCCTCACCTACCATGACGTGGGCCTCAATCGTAAGTGCAGCCCGGCCTCGCTCAGTGTCCCCCTCCTCCTCTGCCACAGTGCGCTGTCCTGTCACCCTTAGCCCTGTGGCCTGAGTCCTCTGGCCTCGTGTTCCCCGTTGGGCATGGAGGCTGATCACTCCTGCCCTGTCCCATGGGGCCCCGTCCTTCCCCCTCCCCGGCATGGCTGGCTGAGACCTGTGTGTCTTTGCAGACAAGCTGTGTTTCAACACCTTCTTCAACTTTGAGGACATGCAGGAGATCACCAAGCACTTTGTGGTATGCCACGTGGATGCCCCTGGACAGCAGGTGGGGGCGTCGCAGTTTCCTCAGGGGTAGGTACCCCAGGCCCCCTGTGCTTCTTCCCAGCCTGCACCCCAGGCTGCATGGCACCCTGATCTCCTGCTCTGCCTGCAGGTACCAGTTCCCCTCCATGGAGCAGCTGGCTGCCATGCTCCCCAGTGTGGTGCAGCACTTTGGGTGAGTCCTCTCCTGGCCCTGGCCCTGGCCCTGTGCCAGAGACCAGACCAACCGGCACCTGCTGTCACTGCAGTGCCAGCAGCTGAGGACGGTGGGCAGTGGGTGGGGCCTGCTCTGGATGGGTTCCATGGGAATCGCACCCTGGCCCTCAAGTGAGCAGCTGTACTCTGTCCCAGGTTCAAGTACATCATTGGCATTGGAGTGGGAGCCGGGGCCTACGTGCTGGCCAAGTTTGCAGTGAGTCTCCCCCACCTCCCGCCCAAGCCCCAGGGACCCCTGCAACATTAGGAACTTTCTCTGCTTTTTCCTTCTTCCCTACCACCACCCCACCCCCTCTTTCCTTCAAGGAAACTGACTTGAGAAACAGCCACGTGTGACAGTGTACATCTGTAACCAGAGCTTTGGGAGGCTGAGGCAGGAGGGTCGAAAATTTGAACCCAGCCTGGGCAAGTTAGCAATTTAGTGAGACCCTGTCTCAAATTTTAAAAAGGACTGGGAAAATGGCTCAGGATCATTGCCCTAGGTACAGTCCCCAGCGTTGAAAACAAGAAATCAAGTTTCCTTCATTTTCTATAAAAGCAAATAATACAACATGTTTAGATTTCACTGTGTTTAATAAGTTTGCAGGAACATTTTCAGAAGTAAATCAGAAGGTGCTGGGGATGTAGCTCAGTGGTGAAGCAGTTGCCTACTGTGCGCCTGACAGTGGGACTCATCCCAGTACTGCAGAAATGCGTACAGATAGAATATGTTTGTACAGGAAGAGGGAAGAGAGCAGTGGTAGAATCATAGGTTCTGAATGAGTCAGAGAGCACTTAGGGGTTCAGGCTGGAAGGAGGATAACAGGATGCCTGGTCCCCAGAGTCCGGCTGGCCCATCAGTGGCTTCTCAAGGCCTTAGAGAGCCATTCCACCTCCTCTAACCATCCCGGCCACCTTGGAGACAGGCAGGGCCTCGGCTTCACAGCCCACTTTCTAGGCAGGCAGAAGGGGCCTCCTGCCCCCATCCCTCCTCTCCCTGCAGCTCATCTTCCCCGACCTGGTGGAGGGGCTGGTGCTCATGAACATCGACCCCAACGGCAAGGGCTGGATCGACTGGGCAGCCACCAAGGTGAGCTGGGAGTGCCTGGGCTGGGCGGTGCCGCCGAGAGGGCAGTGCTCACACCGGCCTCCCCCTGGCACAGCTCTCCGGCTTGACCAGTACTTTGCCAGACACGGTGCTCTCCCACCTCTTCAGCCAGGTAAGGGCCCCGACTGCTGCCTGCATGCCCCATCGTGGAGGAGGCCGCGTGGTAGCCTGGCCTCTGCCTTCTCATGTCTTGCCGTCTCATCACCCTGAGCCCCGTCTTCCCAGCCCTCCCCTCTGCCACTGGGAGGGGGGCAGGCACGCTCCGGAGGTGCTGCCACCCTTACCCTTAGCCTTGGTCTCCCTTCTGTGCGCTCCTCTCCACACCTCCCTCCCTCCCCCCGGCCCAGGAGGAGCTGGTGAACAACACGGAGCTGGTGCAGAGCTACCGGCAGCAGATCGGGAACGTGGTGAACCAGGCCAACCTGCAGCTCTTCTGGAACATGTACAACAGGTGCGTGCGGGGTTCCTAGATGGGCGGGTGCAGAGCTAGGTGCGTGCGGGGTTCCTAGATGGGCGGGTGCAGAGCTAGGTGCATGTGGGGTTCCTAGATGGGCGGGTGCAGAGCCCAGGAGAGGGATGGCTCCCTGCCCAGGGTCACCGCCTTCTGGGGCAGCAGAGAGTGAAGCTTCAGACCTGACCCTTGGGCTCTCTACTTCTCTGCCTGGCTGGGAGCACTTCAGGGTGTGAGTGACTCCGGACCCAGCAGTGAGCAGTGGTGCTGGCCTCTGTGAGAAGGGAGGGCTCGGGTGGGGTTGTAGTTTTCCTTTTTTTCAATTTTTGTGGTACTGGGTGTTGAACCTAAGGCCTTTGCACTGAGCTATATCCCCAGCCCTTTTTAATTTTTTTTAATATTGAGCCAGGATCTCCTTAAATTGACAGGTTGGGAACCTTCTGAGAGTGGTTTTCCGGCTGTGCTCTGTGCTCTGTGGGGTTTGGGGGTGAGCAGATGCCCCTTGCCTTCCTTCCCTCCTTTTGCAAATATTTATTAAGCACTGCTTAAGTAAGCACTTGCTGAAAAAACAGTAGAGAAGAGAGGCAGATGCCAGCCCCTGCTGTGTGGAAACCAGCAGAGCACAAACGCTCAGGCCCCACCCTCTGCAGAGTCAGGCAGCCTGGGCAGCCGCCAATTCCCATGACAGAAAGGGTGGAACAGGGCTCTGCACGGCGGCACTCTCCATGCAGATGGAGAGCCCACCCGGCAGGGAGTGTGAGTCTGGAAAGAAGTCTTGAGTGAGAAAACCCTGACAGCCCCTGTTCCTGCCTGTTACCTGAGGGGGTCCCGGCCCAGGTGGGCTCCGGGACCCCCTCATTCAGTCCTGAGGTGCCCACCTTTGCCTTTGCTCCTCTTGCAGCCGAAGAGACCTGGACATTAACCGGCCTGGAACGGTGCCCAATGCCAAGACGCTCCGGTGAGTGATGCAGCCCTCCAGGGGCTCCACCCCTGCCCCCTCACTCAGGCCAAACAACCTTTTCCTTGTGTCTGCAGTTGCCCCGTGATGCTGGTGGTCGGGGACAATGCACCTGCTGAGGATGGAGTGGTGAGTGTGCTATGGTGGACGGGCGCCCTGGACCCCCAGCCAGCAAGGCCAACTCTTGATGCAACCCAAGGTGGCCTCAGAGACGAGTACTGGAAGGCAGGCTTCCCGTCTACTTCCCTGCCATCTGCCATGCATCTATGTCCCATGCACCCCGTCTTGCAGGAGAGGGAGGAGCTGGCACCCCTGCCTGATGTGTCCCCTCTCCCTTCTCTCATGGTGCAGCTCCCTCTTTAGTCTCTCTGCACTTTAGGCCCAGAGCTTAAACTCTCTTTAAACTTCAACCTGCATCAAATGGATTCACACTTACAAAGACTTTCAGTCTTCCCCTTTGCCCGCTATGTCCAGGAGTGCCAAGAAAATACCAAGCCTTCCAATGCCCATGAGGAGGCTGGCAGCAGCAGAGGTGTGGGCCAGCGGGCCTCAGTCTCCTGCTATAGCCCCTCGCCTCACTGCCCAGTCCATGTGGCCCCTGGGCTGTGCAGACCACATCTGTATCCCAGGATTCCACGCCCCTCAGGGGCTGCTAACTGATCTCCAGAGATTCGGGGATCCTTGAAATGAAGAAGCCAGGGAGAGCAGCTTGCTCCAGACTCTAGGCCCACACCTGCCCCTAGCACCACACTCCTTCTCCGCGCTGGGTACAGACATGGCCCTGAGGGTAGCAGTGCTGCTGAAACTAGCTCCTCGCCCACAGGTCGAATGCAACTCCAAACTGGACCCGACCACCACGACCTTCCTGAAGGTGAGCATGACTGCAGTGCGGGGCCCTGGCCCAGCCAGGGCAGGAGCCCCCAGTACATCTGGCCAGCAGAGCCTGTCCAGGTTGGGAGACCCGCTCAGCTCACCTCATTCTCTCCTTTGTAGATGGCAGATTCCGGGGGGCTCCCTCAGGTCACACAGGTGAGACTCATAGTACTCCTGTTAGTGGGGGTGGGCTGGGGGAGGCCTTCCCTTCCGCCAGTCCCAGGCTACCTAATCACAGTGTGTGCCTGTCTTGCCCTCCTGCAGCCGGGGAAGCTGACAGAGGCCTTCAAATACTTCCTGCAAGGCATGGGCTACAGTGAGTACTCCCCACCTGCCCTTCCCCCAGAAACCAGTGGCGGGCACCAGGGCTGGTGCTGAGGACTGTGGGTGTATAAATGCTGTTATCTGGGCCCCAGGTGTTAGATCCCCTTGCCCGATTCCACTTGTGTGTCCCAGCCCGGGCCCAGCTCTTCTGTGCCCATGCAAAGGCCTTGGGGCACTGTTTTGAGGGCAGAGCTGGGCCTGCTGAGAGAGGATTCTTCTCCTAATACCCCCAAGACCCCCCTGGACCCCAATCCCAAGGGTCCAGGACCTGGGTTGGGTTCTACTGGGAAAGCTTTTTTAAGTCACCCTACAGGAGCTAGCGGCACAGTTGGACCTAGGGACCCTGAGAGATCCTTTGTCAGATGTGGTGGGTGATACCTAGGGGCATCATAGATATAGCTTGGAGTGCAGGGACCAGAAAAAAGCAAATGGGACCATATGGCATTAGGGGGACCAGCAGCAGGCAGCAGAAGCTGTGGGAGGCGAACCAGAAACTCAGGAAATGAGCCACGGGGTGAGACCTGCTCCCTACCCTTCACTCCCCAGTTTGCCCTTGAATGAGGAGACCCGAGGCTGTGCTGCCAGTTCCCACACACAGCTCTGGTGATGCTGGTGTACCCCCTTGGCCCCTGATCCCCTACCCTGACACACTGCTGCTCTTCTGTCTCCTCTACTGCTGGGAAGCAAACTTCCTCTCCCTGAATGTTTTCCCTACAGCCCCGGGAGCTTGTGTCTCCTTGGAAGGAAGTTGTGGGGAGCTGGGGAGCACAGCAGAAAGGGAGTTCCTCCAGCACAGGCGCCTGCCAGCCTGTGCATCAGGAGTAGTGCAGAGAGGCCCGGACTGCCAGGTGGCATAGTCAGCTGTGAGGTCAACATTCGTGAAATGCTTGAGCAGCACTTGCCAGGCTCTGGGGTTAGGAGGGATTCTGCATTCGGGAGACTGAGACCCTGCAGAACCCTGAGGCCCCTGGGACTAGGCTATAGGCCTGAGGGGCCCTGCTAACATGAGCCTGGGTTGCAGAAGACAGGCAAGATGAGAGCCCCATCTCACTGGCAGGGCTTCATTGGGTCACACTTAGATCAGTCCCTGTGGAGGGTGTTCCGGTGGGCGGCAGGAGTGGGCTCCTAAGGCTCAGCCTTGCTGGGCCCTCTCTCTGCTTGTCCACTCGTCTCATCTGTGGCCAAACTCAATGTCCTTCACCTAGCCATGATCTTCACTGTGTTCTGTGTTTCCCCACCCCTGCCCCCTGGCCCTGTCTCTCTCAGTTGCATACTTGAAGGACCGAAGGCTGAGTGGAGGAGCAGGTAGCCCCTCGGCCCTCTCCCAATGCATGGTCCCGGCCCCTCTCTGTGCAGTGCTGCAGCCAGGCCGCGTCTTGCTGTAGTTTGGAAACTTGCTGTGCCCTGCTCAGCTCAAAAGCCCACAAGATTCCTGCTCTTCTGCAAGTGCTTGAGACTGGGTCATAGAGCAGTCTTGCTCCTAGGTTGTCAGGGGCTGGAGGGCCTCTTGCAGCTCTGGGAGCTGGAAGCTCCTCAGCTGCAGCAGCAGAGCCTGCTGGCCTTGTGGGCAGTCAGGCCTGGCCTTGGCCCAGCCAAACAGGTGAAAAGGCGAGTTCAGGACAGAAGTTTGCTTCATGCAGCTCACCTGCAAAACTCTAAGGGCCAAAATGGGACTGAGGGCAGCTTGTGGCCATGACACCGTGTCCTTTCCAAAAGCAGTCCTGCTTCCCCAACCCTGTCGTCCTCTTGTGGGAGGCCATGCTGGGAACAGCACATCCCCAAGCCAGCTTGGGGCCACCTGGCCAGTGCTGGCCCTGCATGCCTCAGGCTTGATGGGGCCGACGAGATGTTCTGGCTTGGGCTGGGCCTTGTGTCTCTGGAAGATTGGTCTCAACGGGCCGCTTTGCTTGCTTTATCCTTTGCCTGCCTACCAGTGCCAGGACCCACCTGCCAGTCCTCAACCCATTCCTTCTCTGCCCACAGTGCCCTCGGCCAGCATGACCCGTCTGGCACGCTCCCGCACCGCGTCCCTCACCAGTGCTGGCTCCGTGGATGGCAGCCGCTCACAGCCCTGCGCCCACTCAGAGAGCAGCGAGGGGCTGGGCCAGGTCAACCACACCATGGAGGTGTCCTGCTGAAGCCCTTGGTCCCTGGCCAAGATGCTCTCCTGTCCTCTCGCCCACATCAAGGTCCCACTGCCATCCCTACGCCAGCTCATTTTCCCTTTATTTTTGTGAGGGTGAACAGGAGGAAATGGGGTTACTTCTCTTTCGTTTAAAAAAAAATGAGGGATCCACCTTGGGTGCTGCAGCAGCACGGTCTTCAGATGGTTTGAGGGGCTTGCCACACCCTATCTCCCTCACTGTGTTGACCTGACTGCCGTGGTCCCTGTCTTCCTGGCCCGCTGCCCAGGCCCAGTTGGAGGTGATGGGGGAGGGGTGGTTAAGGAAAGAGTTGGAGCCCTTCCTGGGCCAGGACCCAAGACCATCCCGGATTAAAGCCCTGGGTGGGAGTGGAGGAGATGAATGGGGTTCTGCGATGATTGGTGCTGGGCTCTGACCCTGATGCAGAAGACTGGAGACAGCAATGGGGAGCACCAGAAGACCCTGTCCCTTCAGACGGTCAAGCACATGAGGCTCTGACCTGTAAGACAGGTGATGGCCACCTGGACTGAGCCACAGGGGGCAGCTGTTACCCAGGTGCTCTCTGGGGCTGGCTGGTGCTGTAGAGCTGGGCAGGTAGGGGTTGAAGATAGAACCAGGAGAACCCACACGTTCGGCCCCCTCTGGCTTGTCCCTTTCTGAGCCCAGGTCTCCCTGAGGCGTGAGTCCCCTGGCCCTTTCTCCCTAGTGACCTGGCTGGGGGCAGAGGGAAAGGCTAGGATTGCTCTTGGGTGGTGTGTGTACCTCTGAGAACTTCCGGAGTAACTGCTGTGGAAGCCAGCAGAGGGGCCGAGGCAGCGTAGCTGAGAACACCTGTAGACCCCGTTGCCTCTGCTGTCACAGGGCATCCACTCAGCACAGCACTGCTACAGGCATCACTGAGACGGTCAGTTTACCAGGAGGGACCAGCCCTGGGCAACAGCAAGGCCCCTAGAGAGGGTACGGCTGGGGCTTGCTGAGTCCTGGGGTCCTTGCTGAGTCCTTGCTGAAGGTTCTCCAAGTGAATAGGATCAGGAAGTAGGGAGAGGCTCCCACACACCCCAGCCCTTTCCTGCCACCTAAGCCCAGGACTGCCATCTACTTCGGTCCACCCAGCCTGGTCAGGTAGACTCTCCCAGCCCAGAAGCCAGAGCCATTTGTTTTATACCCTAAATCAACAAATCCCCAAACAGAGCAGGAAGAGAGCACTGAAAAAACTGAAAGGCTGTGGAGGTGGGAAGGGTCGTGTGGGGTGTTCTGAGGCTGAGGACACCTAGACCCCTATTTCATCGGCACACATCACCCCCTTCCGTGATCTTAAGCCATTGCTAGACCGAGAGCCTAGTGGAGTGTAGTCTGCCCCGTTCTGCTCACTCACGTGCTTCCTTTCAATATTGAATGTGACTGTCTCAAGCTGGTAGAATTAATCTCTCTTAATGTAGACAGCACTGCGAGTACTGTTTTTTTTTTTTTTTTTAATTTTTTTGCTGTGTTCTTTCAGATGAGATATATAAATATCTATACATTATATATATATATGTATATTGGGTCTTCCTGGGTGTGGTTTTCCATCGGAGGTTGTCTCTTCTTTGGTCAAGGTGAATTTATTTTCTTCTCTGTACAAAGTTAAGAGCCTTCTTTTGTGTATTCTGGTGGCTGATGTCATGAGATTTTGAGATGACAAAATGTAAAACAAAAACCCTTGTCAATGTAGAAAGTTAACTGCTGAAAAACTAATAAAGAAACTAAGAAGAGCGTCCTGTGGTGACCTTTGGAAGGGGCCTGTGGGGCTGCAGTGGGCCCAGGGACTGTGTGTCCATGCTCTGGGAGCTTGCACACGCCCTGTCTTAACAATCTTCACATCACTTCTACAAGCTTACATGTTTCACAGGTGAGAAAAAAAGAGCTTTAGGGCAAAGAATTTACATCAAGAAGAGATCAAAATGAGTTAACTTTAGGGCATGATTTGGCTTCAAAACCCCTCCCCATGACCTTTCTTCTCAGGGCTTCCTTTTCTTAAATAGAACAATATGCTATTTTCCCCATGTTTAATCAGTTTCATTCTTTATTCATTTACTGGGTACTTAGTATGCAACCCAACATGCATGCAGATGAAAGATAAATGTGGGTAGAGGTCTTAGACCCAAAACGCATAACCCTCTCCACTGGAGAGAAGGATTTTGTCCTCACACCCAGAATTGTACCCAACAAATCTTAGGTCTCGGGGATACATGGGAGGAGGGAGAGTGATGGTTGGTTGAGAGCCAAGTATAAGGCAGCAAGGGCCCACTATTTTTTGGTAGGAGTTTTCTTTTTTTTTTGAGGCAGGGTTTCACCATGTAGTTCAAGCAGGCCTCGAAATCACAGAGATCCGCCTGCCTCAACCTCCTGAGTGCAGCGATTACAGGCGTGCACTAACACGCTGCCAAGCGGAATACACGTTTTCTAAACTACACTAGCAATCCAGAGCCAAAAAGCAGCCTGAGGAGGCGCCGCCGCCCCTCCCCTTCCGCGCGGACGCCGAGCCCGCATGCGCTTCCGGCGCAGCCCGTGGGGCGGGGCCACCGCTGCCGGAAGCGCGCGCGCAGCATGGCGACCCGGACTAAGCGCGCCAGGTTGAGTAGCGGACTGCCGGCAGGGAGTCCCTCGGCTAGTCTCGGAGCCTCCCGCGGACCCTGCGCCACTCCCCCGCGTCCCTGCGCGGCAGGCGGTCCCCAGCGCGCGCTTTCCCAGGCGGCGCGGTCTGCGGACGGCAACAAGCAAGACCCTGACCCGGTGTCCGGCTTCCTAAGCTGGTGCGGGCGGGTGGGGCTGGAGCTGAGTCCCAAGGTGAGCGGATGGCGGGGCGGCGGGGCGGCAGGGCGCCTTGGCGGCGGCTCTGACCCGCTCCTCCCCTGGCGCAGGTGGTGGTGAGCAAGCAGGGCACGGTGGCCGGCTACGGTATGGTAGCCCGGGAGAGCGTGCAGCCGGGGGAGCTGCTGTTCGCGGTGCCTCGCGCCGCGCTCTTGTCGCCGCACACCTGCTCGATCGGCGACCTCCTGGAGCGAGGTGGGCGCTGGTGGTGGACCGGGTTCCCGGGCGGCTGTGGGTCAACCCGGGCGCTCACATCTGTGTTGTCCACAGAGCGAAGCGCGCTGCAGAGCCAGTCGGGTTGGGTGCCGCTGCTGCTGGCGCTGCTTCACGAACTGCAGGCCCCAGCCTCACCCTGGAGCCCCTATTTTGCGCTCTGGCCCGAGCTGGGCCGTCTGGAACACCCCATGTTCTGGTGAGCGTTTTAGGAGGGGTTGGGAACACCCGCATTAGTAGCCTGCGTAGCCACTCAGCTTTGAGTGGCCCCAAGCTCCAGACCCGATAGAGTGAAGGGAGCGGGGTGGGGGTGTCCCTACAGGCCCGAGGAGGAGCGGAGGCGCCTGCTGCAGGGCACCGGTGTCCCCGAGGCTGTGGACAAAGACCTGGCCAACATCCGCAGCGAGTACTACGCCATCGTACTGCCCTTCATGGAGGCCCATCCAGACCTATTCAGTCCTAGGGTCCGCTCCTTGGAACTCTATCACCAGCTGGTGGCCCTTGTGATGGCCTATAGGTCAGTGAGCAAAGGCTTTTTTAGAACTCATATTGAGGGACTTGGGGTGCGGAAGAAGTGAATGCCCCTAGTACCTCACCTAAGCCTGGGCCTTAGATGCGATCTCTCTGGCAGCTTTCAGGAACCCCTGGAGGAAGAGGAAGAGGAAAAGGATCCAAACTCCCCTTTGATGGTGCCTGGCGCAGACATTTTAAACCACTTAGCCAATCACAATGCCAATCTAGAGTACTCTGCAGTGAGTGGACCTCACCTAGTTCTCCTTATTGCCTTGATTTCATCTGATTTCAAGCGTGTTATCACTGGGCTCCACTTTCCTACTCACCCTAAAAATGAGGTGAAGTTAGCACCTCCAGTACTTTTGGTTTTCACATTACAGTAAAATCATGTGAATATTTTAAAGCTCTCAAAATTGTAACTTAAAGCCCAATATGGGCATGCATGCAGTAAGGCAGGATGATCCAAGGTCATCAAGAGTGGCATTGTCTCAAAAACAGAAGGCCTGTTCTAAGTGGTGCTACACACCTGTAATCCCTGGACTCTAGGAGGCTGAGGCAGGAAGACTGCCCAGTTCTAACCCAGCTTCTGCTGGGTTAGAGCAGTGAGGACTGGTGGGGGTAGGGTAGAGAGCCAATTCCAGAATGAACTCTCATTTCTGTCATTTTTTGGAACTAGTGTTGAATGGTGTGCACAGCTACACTTAATTCCTCACTAGCTGCCCTGGTACTGAGGAGAGTATGCCAAACTTGGCTGGCCCTGTGGATAACCGCAGAGAACTACTAGTCTTGGTCCTTTGGGGAAGACAAGAGATGTGGGAACTTCAAGAGCAGAGAGCTAAGATAACTTCCTTTTAGAACTGCGTCAGTTCTATTCTGTATGGAAAACTGTGAGAAAAGTGTACGTTTCTGGTATTAAAAATCAGCAAATCTATTAATTTCCTAAGCCTTGATTTTTTTGGGGGTGGGGAAAGAGATTGAATCCAGAGTTTTCACAGAACTATATCCGTAGTTCCTTTTAAAACATTTCCTAAATTGACCAGGTTAGACTGGACTTGGGATCCTCCTCAGTGTCGATGTGCTGAGATAATAGGCATGGCATGTGCCACCATTCTGCACTTAACCCTCATTCTTGATCTGGGCTTGATTGCTTTTTTTTTTAAAGCCACTGGCTTTGGCTTTTTAAAGTGCTAATATGACTGAGCAGAGATGGACCCAGTACTACATAAACCTGACCCCTTTTATTTTATAAAACAACATGTGACAGGAACTAAAGATAGAAAATATAGGGCATGCCTGTAATCCCAGCACGGAGTCTGAGGCAAGAGGATCACTGTGAGTTGAAGGCCAGCCTGAACCCGCACAGTGAAACCCTGTCTCAAAAAGACCAGGGAAAACAGCCAGTGGATATAGCACCAGTCCAACCACTGAACATACTTGAAGGCTCTTTCTAAAAAGACAGTAATTCCCAGGAGTGGCCTGGGAAGGGTGTGGCCCCAGCTTCTTCCTTTGTCTCAGGATTACCTTCGGATGGTGGCTACTCAGTTCATTCCTAAAGGCCATGAGATTTTCAACACTTACGGGCAGATGGCTAATTGGCAGCTGATTCATATGTATGGTTTTGTTGAGCCCTACCCTGACAATAAAGATGACACAGCTGACATTCAGATGGTGACTGTTCGTGAAGCGGCATTGCAGGGTGAGTATCTCATCAACCATAGTCTTTGACTTAAGGGTTACAATAGCTCTGCTGAATATAGATTCTTGGACATGAGCTCTTGGGGACACTGAAAAATTTTGTTACTTGTAGGAGTAAAAGGGGAAGCTGAAAGGCTCCTCCTGTTTGAGCGCTGGGATTTCTTATGCAAATTGGAGATGGTAGGGGAAGAGGGCGCCTTTGTGATTGGGCGTGAGGAGGTACTGACTGAGGAGGAACTGACAACCACACTCAAGGTAGGGGCTGAGGTAACACCCTGACACAGATTACAGTGAAACACGGGGAGGCCAGAGGAATTGGGGGGGGGGGGGGGAAGAAGGGGGTATTTCAATGCTCCCAAGTAGGGTGAGCTCTCTGAATCTGTTCAGAAATGACAACTAAGTACATCATAATGAAGGGCCCCATGTCTGCTATAAGGTGCTATGTATGCCTGCTGAGGAGTTCAGAGCCTTTCAGAACCAGGATGAATGGGGACAGAATAAAAAGGAAGAGGACAACCTGACAATCACCAGTATCCCAAAACTCAAAGCATCATGGAGACGGCTGCTTCGAGACAGTGTTCTGTTGACCCTCCAGACCTACGCCACAGACTTAAAAACTGAGCAAGACATCCTCAGTAACAAGGAGGCCTATGCCAAACTCAGCTGGAGGGAGCAGCAGGCTTTACAGGTTCGCTATGGGCAGAAAATGATCTTACATCAGCTGTTGGCACTGACAAGTTAGCTCCTGCTGCCTGAGAAAAGCAGTAAGAATGATCTTAGCTGTGATTGCAAAAAAAGGGAAAGTTTGGATGACTTGCTTTTCATTAAATACCAAAAGGGAAAAAAATTCTAAATTAAGGGTGACATGTTTTAAGGGTTGTCAGGAGCATGTTTTAAGGATTGTCAGGCCAGCTAGCTACAACCAAAGCCAGTAGAAAGATGCTAATAACAGCCTGTGAGTATAGTTTGGGATAGTCACTTTACTCTTTCTGGAGAGGACTTAAAAAGCTCTATGATCAGCACTGGGTTGGATCACTAGTTGCTGTACTTGCAGCTATGGTTGTCTCACTGGCATTAAAGTCTATACTAGATGATAACACAGCTTGCCCTACAAGAAACCTGAAGACACTAGGACATTCAAGCTTCACTGGAATGAAACTGTAAACTCCTTGTCCTCCTCAGCAATAAAACCTGACTACCATTAAAGGTAAAGGAAAATTGTAACTGAGATTTCCTTGTTTTATCTACCTAAAAGGAACACATTGGCTGGTGTTTTTTAGAATCAGTAAGATCACAGAAAACAGCTCTAATGGTGGTTTTTGTTGTTGAAGCTCACTCTACAAAAGTGGTTTCCTTGCTTGTTTAAATATCCCAGCTTAGTGGGAACCTGGCTCAGCCCGATGTGTTTTCCAGTAGTCCTGGGCTCTGTGCAGCTGGGCACTCTTACTTTTCTCCTTCCCAGCACTGGCTGCTGCTAATGAGAAAAGAATGGGGAACAGAATAGGATGCCGGGACCAGTGTACCCATAAAACATTTAAATCCTTATAAAAGGAAGCCTGGCTAACTATTCTGTTCAGCACTGGCTGTATGGGATATGGGAGAGGTTTAAGATTTTATTCTTTTTCCCAGTTTCCAAGCAGCATGAGAACAAGGTGGGCACTTTAAGCTGGATTTAGAACCAAGGAGGAGATTCTTCAGCAGGACCAGAAAGCAGGTACCTTTTCCTACAGTCAGCTTTAAACCAGTTTGAGGGGATCTCAAATGATGAGCCCTTTCTGTGTACTAACCCATACACATTTTTTACAGATTTTAGAATCCCCTATCCACATTTAACAATTCACCATGTAATATTTAAACTGGTTTTTGCTATCCTTTGGGACACCAGACATCACCAGACAGCAAGCTGGGCGGGCCCTCAGACAAGTGCATGACATCAGCTGCCTCTACTTCAGTACTGGCTATTGGTTTAGATACTTGCCTTGAACACATTTTGCACAGACTCAAGTTCCAGACAAAGGTTTTTTTTTCATATATTTACAGAATTTCAAACTGATATTCACAGCATGTTCTAAATTTTGGCCAAGAGTCAAAAAAAATGCATTTAAACTTTGGAACGTGCCCACCTAGGCAGGAGGCTGGCCCCAACAGTAAGTGGGACAGACACCCCGAGAACCAAAGGGCTGGGAAAGTCAGGAAGAGTTGAAAGAATTCTTCAGTTTATGAACTTGGTGCAGTGACACCATTACAATGGAGATAGTTCATCTAACTGGCCCCTGTCCCTTCCATTACTTGCTGTGCCTGCTTCTGCCCCATGCAGCACTGTGCAACCGACTGGAATAACCTAAAGAATGGAGACAATTAAAAATATGCCTGTGAGCAAAGTTTAGAACAATATCTTCTAATTAGAAACCAAACAAGACAAGCTCATGCTCAATCCTGTGTTTCACTGCTAAGTAATTAAGAAATTACTTTTAACTTACTTTTCAATTTCTGGGGCACAGTGTACAAACTCATGGTTCCAGAACTTAAATGCTGGGTTTTTAATCAGCTCAATGAAAGTAATAAGAAGACCCCAAGGATGTGGCCTATTTACAATCAACCGTTCCAAAAGAACCCTGGAGAAAAGAAGAAAGAGTTAACATGCAAAGAAGCAAATTGATGACCACAGCCCCCTCCTTGCTTCCAATTCTTCTTGACTGTGGTGTTTAGCTTCACAAAAAGTACATAGAATATTTGATTATGCGTTTTGGCCCTGAGCTCAAAAGTTAACTATTGAGGCTGGGGATTTAGCTCTGTGGTGTGAGCACTTGTCTAGCAAGTGTGAGGTCATGAGTTCAATCCCAGATACCAATAAAAGGGACAAAAGGGTACTAGAGTACTGAGAAAGGGTACTAGAATTTGAAAGCTGTTCAGAGTAGGGGGGAAAGGGGTCAATACACACACATGCATATAATCTTGGTACCCAGAGGGCTACAGCAGGAAGACCACAGTTTAAATTGGGTACTTAGTAAGACCTTGTCTCAAAATTTTAAAAGGGGGTGATGGTGCATACTTGGCACACCCCAACAGTGATTACAGGTCAACAATGGTTACAGTATTTGTAATATGTCCATCAGGGTAAGTATTAGGAGGATAGGGAACTTCTCTATTTTGTTCACAGCTGTATCCCATATTTCACACAGCTGTATCCCATATTTCACACAGTACTAGCCAACAACACACAGAAAGAACTCTTAAGAATTAAAATGAATGGTATAGGGCAGTGACAGTGAACCTTTCAGAGCTTTCAATGATAAAAACAGTCCTCTGTGGACTGGTGCCATAGGTGTGCCACCATTGATATAGGGGGGTCATTTTTGGTGGATTTGAAAAATAAACTCACCTTGTGATCTGTTCCTGGATAGCTTCAGTGTTGGCCTCTGCAAAAAGGTACAGCATGGTGCAGCTAAAGTAGTGAGTGTGGCTATTTGGATACCTCAGCTGATTTGCAATTGCATTCAAGAAGAGATACCGGCCTAGAAATTAAGACAACAGAGTGAGAACCTGCTTTGAAGGCTAGCACAGAACAAATAGCGCTGCCTAGGGCTTAGGTTTCTGGTACAGACACAGATTGCTCTGAAGGGATCTCACTTTCTCATGACCCTAAAGACTTCTTTTTTTAAAAAAAATCTTAAGACAAAGTCTTGCTGTGTAGTGCTGTATGGTCTGGCCTTAAATTCACAGCGGTCCTCCTGTCTTAGCTACCAAGTGCTGAGATTATACAGGTACACCACCATGTCTGGTTCCCCCAAAGAATTTTTCTGTAAGTTTTACTGTACTTCCCATGTTTTAAAATTATTTCAAAATACTCATTTTTTTAAAAGACTCTAAACATATGTAACATGTTAATATTTTCTGGAAAAAAAATTTGGTAAACTGTCACTTTTAAATATTTTTTCATGTTACAAGACAGCAGATTTTCATTTCTGCCTCTGCATTCAGTAAGTTATACTACTATATTTCAAGGAGCCTCTGGAAAATTCCTCTTAGAATGGGAGCAATGAAAGTAAATGTGCCTTGCTATTATGCAAACAGTTTTTACCTCACAGGCCTCCCGAAAGGTTCTGGAGGGCAATGTGAACTGTTCTTTTAAAACCATACTTTTAAAAGTACTACTACTTTGGAATTACTACTAGCTGGCTTTGGTTGTCTATTTTTGTTTGACGCTGTGTTTGTAAAGTTACCTAACTCTGTAAAGATAAAGGCTACCCTGCCTTTTCTTTATTGAAGTCTGGATGTAGTAATATATATTCATTATTTTCTCCTTTGAGGCAAGGTCTCACTATGTAGTTCAGGCTGCCTTGAACTCCGTGTGTAACGCTTGCTTGTCTCAAATTCATGGCAGTCCTCCTGCCTTAGCCTCCTGAGTGCTACAATCACAGGCCTGTGTCACCACACCCAGCTTTCCAACTCTCACAGATTCCTTCTATAAACAGGCAAGTACATACACTCAAAATTAGCCTCTCGAGTGTCCACAGCAAACTTGGAAGTCCTGCTGAAGTTCTATTGTGCTAAAATAAGGAGGCATGTAGCTGGTTAACACTTAGCTAAGATGTCTATTACCTAAGCATAAATATAAAACACCAAAGGCAATGCGCTCAACCAAGAAAGGCGGGAATTGCAATAGGAGTTACATTGTTGAGAATTTCCCATAGAAGAGGGAAGGAAATCTTACTCACTAGTCTTCATATGCCTCATTTAATGTGCTCTCTGGCAATGAGGCGAGGAAACGGGTTAATTAAAGCTATGCAATACAGTTTAAATAAAACATGTTCATTTTCAAATTAAACTGCAATTATACAACAAAGTATTAACTGATTCAGCAAGATTTTGGGTAACTTTTTCCTTATTGTATTGACCTTGTAAACGAGGGAAAAATAACCAGACCTATAAATATGTTAACACGATATTCTTTCTTGTGGCTTATAGCAATTTTTAATTTTTGTGACTGGATTGTAGCAGAAAGCACAGTGAACTTTACTCCAGAGACTGTCGGCCCCACTCACCCTCAGTGTCCAAATCCACAGCCAGGTTCTGGAAGATGTCCATGTGTGCCGAGTGAGTGATGGTGCTCATGGAAGGTGTGCTGCCCTTGTTGTGGATATGCGCAATGGCCTGAGTTCCTACATAGAGCACCAGTGCATTGATAAGCTGAAGGTTGTAGCGATTGCCAGGCTCATTGGATACCTAAAAGAGCAAAACGCAAAACTGAATTCCCACAGAGCTTCAAAAGGAAGGGTGAACAGCTCTCCATATTCTTTGTGATCTGAATATTGGAACCTTGACCTGCTATAGCTTTACAAGCCTGTGATCCCAGTACCCTAGGAGAGTAAGGCAAGACAATCCCAGGTTTGAGCCCAGCCTGGGCAACTAACTTAACTAGAGCCTGTCTCAAAAATAAATAGATGGGAATGTATCTCAGTTTGAGGGCCATGGTTTCAATCTTCAGTGATTCTATCAAGAGAAATACTGAGTTCCTTTGGAAACCCAAGCTAATATACCCATTCTCATGATATATCTCCAAAGTAAATGCTAAGTCAAAATACACATGCTGTCCCATTATGATAAAGATTTGGAGAAAATTTTGGTTATAAGGTGTGGAAAGAATGGTAAAATAATCAAGTTACTCTATGTAGCAAATTAAACCAAAATCCATTTAACCTAGAAAAATCTTGATGTACAAACAAGAAATGACCACTGGTAGTCTATTTTGACAGAAAATTGTTCTTGGGCTATCTAAAGCTGTAGTACTGTGAAACTAATCAAATATACTAGCATAAGGTGAATTCAATCCAGTTAAGCTCACCCATCTGACAGATATGACAGAATGTTTCTATATGTTTCAATCAGGGTGAAAAGTAACTCCTGAAATGAGCCAAATATAGGATGATACACAGGTAGTGCTTTCTATGGAAGATACAGCAGACAGCTTAAGTGAAACCAACAAACCTGTAGGTTGCTGCGTAAATCAGATAGAAAAGTGACTGGTGATCGAGTTTTAAGATAGGAGTCCAGATCCTTTTTGAACTGAGGTGGCATTACTCCAGTGAAATTGGTGAGAATCCGGGGTGCAATGTTAATTTCACTCAACATATCCACCTGCCACAAATGCCAAGAATCACAACCAGAATCAATTACAGGAATTAACAAAGTTTATGTATGCTACAAAGTAATAGGGTAGTTTT